CCAGATTTTAATTTTTTAGTCACTGATTGAAAGTCTGATTAAATCTGATTAAACATTGGAAATAATTTCTCATTTATAGAAAAACTGATAAGTTGATTTATGATGAACTGATAGTATCTTTATGCACAATATAACTACATATTTTCAAAATATTTTTAAGAGTTGAATACTTAAGAATTTTGAAAAAGTGGATTGGTGATATAAACATTATTATCAATATCATTATTTACTGTAGTAATTTCAATACTTTTAAGCTAATGCATTTTTCGTTTTTCTTTCTTAATTGAATGGCTAATTCAACGATTCCTTAAAATCTCAATGGTACCAGCTAATTAGTAAATTGCGCTTTTAACAAATGGAAAATTTTTATTTTCTCATTTTATGAAATTTACCAAGGTCATAATATAGATTTCGCAATTCATTAAAATACCATCATTGATAATGGTTTGCTTTGCAATTAATCCTTCATTTATTCAATCATTTCTTCACTTAGATGTAATGCTTAGACAAGAAATGTTCATGAAAGACAGTTGTTGAAAATGCAGTTTTTCTTAAGAAACATAAAGAGCTTCAGCAACTAGTCAAATTTATTATTATATCATCATGAAAAAATTTTTGCTTCAATTAATTTTTTATTCCTCAAGAAAATATAAGTTATCGTTTTGACTCTACTGATAAGAGGAATGATATTAAAAACAGAGCAGCGAAATTTCGTAATATTCACAAATACATGGAAATAGTTCATTAAAATAATTGGACAATTTTTTTTAAAGAGCTTTCACCATTATTAGTTAAAGTCATTTCCGCTGGCTTGTTGCACTAGACAAATAATCCCGCCTTGGCGATAGAAGTACTTGCGAGTAGGCAGTATCATCCCGTTTTTTGGACAGGTTTATTCCTGTGAGGAATGGTACTTTAGCCTTGTTACTTTGAATTGAACAACAACCTATTGAGTCATTCTACCCTCCTAATAACTGGACAATAAGAAATAAATAAATAAGAAATGATGACAAAAGTTTGTTTATAATTTAATTATTTTTTGGTGCCTATTCTTCCCATATACGAAGTCAAGAATTATATTTGACTAAATTTTTGGCTGAAATAGATTAACATTTACAGAACAGAATCGAGATTTTTAAAAGAACGCTTAAACGAACAACAAAAGCTGAAATATGGAATTTAGGCTGAAAACTATTCTTATAATCTTTCATCAAACTTGGATGGAACTTTTAACTTTTAGTAGAAAGAAAAAAAAAAGGCAAAGTTGCCTGGTACCGACTTGTACTTTAATATAAAAACCAAACTTTTTTATGATAAACTGCTTCATTCTTTTTGTTTTTAACTTCACTCTTAATTTATGTGATTTTTAAGTAAAATAATCTTTTGAATTAGAAAAATTTTTGAGAAAAAAAAAAATTACCAAGAAAATTAATCTTTTTGAAAATAAATATTCGCCGCGATTTATTGCTGAACGAAGTCTTAAGAAATAGAAAACGTGTTAAATGAAAAAGAAGAACTGGAAAATAGAAATCGACAGTCGGTTGTTTCTCTTCATATTAATACAAATAGTACATACAACACGTGATTCGTCGTTAAAAGCTCAGTCTTTATGCAAATCCCCTCCTCCCTTCTCCCCTCTCCCCCCTCTCCTCCCTCATCTCCTTTCCTCTTATTCTTCTTATATTAGAACATCACTTATTATTCTAATATTACTGATATGAAATTTTAATTATTTTGCATGGTTAAAAAAACAAGACGAATTCATTAAAAAAATTTTTAAGGGTATTCTGTTATTGTAAAAATAAAAACAGAGAATTGCCAGTGATGAATTAGCGATGGAAATGTCACGTGCTGGCACATATATAATTGCCATCGAAGATTAATAACAACGTATCATAATTATTGATAATTACTGATAAGCGAATATCAATCGAAATTTTCGCATATTTTGTTTAAAATATTCTTCAAATGTTTTTTTTTCTAATCAATCGCAAGGATTTTACAAGAAATATTTTCGTTTTGGTTTTTCTGCAAAAAAACAATTAATAATAGAAATTGCAAAAAAAAATATTTAACGCCACTAGCATTGTATGAAAACAAAAATTTCTATTAATTAATGAAATGTTTATACATAAAAAAAAATCAGCCCACTTCCAGAATTTAAGAAACAAGAAGCGATCGGGAATTATTCAAAAAATTCTATGAAATCATACGGAATAAGAGCCTTAAAAAAAATTAGCCTCAAAACCCTCCAAATTGCATTCAAATACTGCTTATCGGAGCAAATCGCAATAATTTTGGCCATTATCCATAATTAATCCAAAATAAATCTGAGGTATGAGGAAATGAATATGAAAACTAAAGAGCAGTACGGTATGGATTAAACGATTATCATAAATACGAGATTCCTTTCCCTAAATGCCAATAAGAATGAAATTCGACAGTTGCATAGTTGTACTTCTATTAGCAAATTAATTCTCTGGACGAAGGGAGTTCTTATAATTATAATTGAATCATTTAGATTAAAAATGGTTAGTGTTGTCATAAAGAGAAAAAAAATGAGAGAATATAAGGCGCGAAATTTTTATTTAACTACCATTTATCCAGAAAAATTTTTTAAAGTAAAAAACAACAAAACACCATAAAAGGCGCATAAATAAATTTATCACTTGTAATCAATCGACTGATAAAAATAATGGATGAAAAAAATTTAGAAAAACAATCTTTTCAAAAATATAAAAATATAAACTTCGATTTCATGTGTAATAATGAATGAAAAAAGTTTTCTTAAAGTTTTAAAATATCGTCTTTTTAAAAATCCTTTACGAATTGATCTATTGATAAGTTTAGAAATTTGATAAAAATCTTATTGTAAAATTATTATTATTCCATTTTTATTCGTATTAAACCGTATTCTCTAATATATCATTAGTTTAGAAATGATAGAAATCTAATTCATTCGAAATTCATTTAAGAATCTCTTCGTAATGATAGATTAAGGAACATTTGCACACATTTATCAAAAATCAGAACTAAAATTCATTAAAGATATATGGTGATTAGTGGCCGATTGGTTAGAGTCATACGCCGAGTGTAAGTAGGGTTTTTCAAGTCAATGAGCCACTTAGTGATAGAAATACAGGTGAATCGCTATCAACATCGAGATTTTTTAAATTTTTTATTGTGTGATCGAGTAGAAACCCTTAATCACTTTATGTGTTAATATGCACTCTACTATCTTGTCCATCGATGCAATAAATTCTAGTAATCTTTTGAAAAATTCTTTTCGACAATGTCTCGTCGAGAAACAAGATAATATTGTAAATATTCCAGCCAAAATAGCCAAAAATCAAATAAAAATTTTGCAAATGAATTATTTCATTTCCTTTGCAAAAATATAATTATAATTCATAGAAAAATAATAAATAAAATTGTATGTCATCAAAGTATCAAAATCCATTGCAAACAAATTATTGTGATAGGAAAACGAAAAATTTTTTTTCTTCCGTATAATATTTAATTTAATTAGTTGATCAACCTATTTCTTTTTTTTCATCAGACAACGGTGATTGAGGAGTTTCACATTTAATATTTTGCAAGGATTTGGCCGCAGCTGCAGCTTCTTCTTCTTCGCTTTGGCGCATTAACTGAAAATATCAAATCATAAGTGTTTTAAAAATTTCGCTTGAAGTTTGAGGCTGTTACGCCGTGATTTATTGAGGTGATAAAGAAGCAATGAATTCAGCAAAAATATCTATCTATGCCTAGCACACCTATTAAATACCCATATAGATATTATAATATAAATTCCATCCGAGATAAAAAAAAAAGCTAAACCTCATTATCGCTTCTGGCAGACATTCCTAATGGCCGATATATTGTTGAATTTTGCACCGTATGATTTGAATCTAAAATTAGATTGTTTTGCCAATTTTAGATTACCATAGATTATTTCAAGACAAATATTGTAATAATGTTATTTTTACACACATTATTTACGATATTATCACGTGGCGTTGTTTAAGGTAACGATTTAAACTTTAGAAGAAACGTTTATATAAAAAATAAGTATTTTCCTGAACGAAAAGATTGTATTATATTTGTGGACAATAAAATAGAATAATCGAGTTATCAATGGATTATATTGAGAGTCGAATTAAAATTTGAAAAAATCATTTTCGAATAGTATGGTTGAGTTGGGTTCACTCACCTATGGTCAAGTTAAAAGTAAGTAAAAGGTAAAAATTTCGAATCACACTAATAACCAGTGGAATGAGATTAACCAGAAATGGTGAACGCAAATCACTTATTTTATGACCTGAACGATAGGCCTTCTTGAAAAATTTTCAAATAAAATAATTAATATTTAAAATTCTTGTAAAAAAAATTTTTTTTTTTTAGCAATAAATATATTCTTTTAGGATTTCTAATCATAATTTTAAAATTTATTTTTTGGTTAACTTCTTTATATTTTTGTTGGGAGATGTAATATGTGCCATTTGATGTTTAGCAAATCAAATGGGAAATTTATTTTGTTTTGCAAATCAAAATGATATCACTTGAAAATCAATCATTCATTGCATTAAATTACACAAAATTATTTGCAAAAAATCTTGAAAATTGAAACATGAAAAAATGAGAAATATTAAGTCATTTTATAGTTAAAATTTTTCAATGAAAAATTCTCAAAAATTTGATAATTTTTTGATATAATTGAAACTAATCAGTCGAAGATAATTTGATAAGAATAGCTCATTTTCTGCAAAATAATTTCACTACTTTCATCGCTATTTCTATTGCTATTACAGCTTAGCGTTTTATATTTAAGAAATATCAATTTAAACTCATCAATACGAACTCAAATTCAAATGTAAAAGAGGATTGTTAATGGTTGATAGATAAATTATCAGTTGTTCAATGAAAATGAATTTTTTAAGGAATTAAGAAATTCTATTAGATCTTAAAATAATGAATGTAAATAAATTTAAAAATATTCCATTCTAACCTTGAAAATCACTTCCTGTATAAGGTGTTGCCCAAATGTTGCTACCATCTTCACTAAAATTTCCTGCGGCCGGTATAATACCATAAGCATTTGTTTCTAGAATATTTGATTCTGATTGAGCCATTTCAATTTGGAATGGATTTTCATATGCTGAAGAATATAGCATCCTTTTTTAAATATATTTATTATATCAAAATATATAGAATTTAAGTAAAATTAATTGAATAATGGTATATTTTATATTTTATATTTATATTTTAATTAATTTATATATATTTATATATGTATGGGGACAGAATGGCTTAGTGGGTTGTTATCAATTGGGAGCGCCGATGCTGAGGTTCAATTCTCTACAGGAGTAAATCTATGCAAAAATCCAGGTGGTGCTGGCGACTCACTTGTATTTCTATCGCCAAAGGACTCCCTGGCATGTTGCCCAATACGATAAGCCAGTGGAGCAAGTTTAAGCAATAATGGTGAAAATTTTTAAAAAAAAAATTCATATATATATGTATATATTATATTAAATACGACCGTGGTGAATATCTTATTTAAGATATACCAAATAGCCTTCCTTTTGATAATTTTGAATTTTAATAATTATAAAAAAAAAAAAAATAAAATTTAGGCTTAGATAAAAGTTAGATTTTCATTTGATTGGTTAATATTGGCTGAGAAAAATATGAGATTCGTTAGCTAATTTGTCAAATTTTACTTAATCGTACATTTTGGATAAATGAATTTTACCGGGCATTTGACGAGTATTCTTCATAAATCGAACAGCATTAACCATTTTTTTATTGCTAGGCTGTTGCCGTAAACAGTTATCAGTTTTTTGCTTTCGTTTCCTTGTTTGTAGAGTGCCTTCTTTTTTCATTGAGGGTGGTCGATGTATATTATGCAATTTATAATAGAGACCACAAGCACTGAAAATGAGTGCTTGAAATTTTGAGATAAAAATAATTCTAAGAGCAGTAAGAGCTTCTGAAACAAAATGGAACTCAATGCATGATCATCCAATTCGGTACGTTTTTTATATAGTAAGTATATTAATGTAAAATACTTCGGAATATTAAAAAAGAAGTGGTATAAAATGAAAACCATGAGATTAGTTCTTCTTAGGGCAAATGCAATGTGAATGAAAAATGGCAGGAAAACTACTTGCAGACAGGTTCTCCTTCAGCATTACGCCTCCATAATGTTGTGTTGGTACCACGACAATTTGTGCAAACTAATCCTTGACGCCTTTGTGTTCCTTGTTGTATCTATATGCAATTATTTAAATTTGCTGGGTTATCATTTATTTCCACCAGTCTATTTCTGATTGATTTATAGTTAGATGATTGTGGATAAATCAAGCAGGTAAAATTTTTAAAAAAAAAATCCACAATTATAACTCAAGTCTGACACTTCAAATCACGCATTTTTCCGTTCTTTTTAAAATCCTTTCAGTATAGCTTTCTTATCAATCAAGATTTAATCAAAAAACGAGATTCATATGATTTCATATGAGACCCACCTGATTTTTTCGAGAATGCTGTTTAGTTTTTCCTGAAATTGTTGTCTGAGAATTAAATAACAATTTCGGTTGAATTCTAGATGAGATTGAATTGCATTGATTAACTGATGAAGAATAAGCTATGCGATCCTATAAAATTTGTAATTTTCGTAATTTTTTTCTAAATATTCCGATTCTTCTTCTTCTCTTAACAGCTCTCACCATTGCTGGTTAGTCTAGCCCCGCTGGCTAAAAAAGTAATAGTAAGAGTCTCTAAGCTGCCAGGTCCGATGACATCGCTAGTAGCAATAGAACCATTCCTTATAGTAGTACCATTCCTTTTTCCATCGTCTAAATCCATATATCGCTGGTCCGCTTATGGGTTCAAAAATCCTTCCTGACTGTATGTATCAGTCCAGGTCTTGATTGGCCCACCTCGCTTTTGACGCCAACCATCACACGATTTAGCAAGTAATTAAATATGCGTCAACTCCTGTAGTGGGCGACGGAGAACATGCCCTAACCAGCGAAGGCGACGCTCTGTGATTATTGATGCACGTGGTATTTGAGCGAAGATAGGTGGATGCGATCATGTGATATTTTATCTGCTCGGTGGATGTGTAGAATGTACCTTAGACATGAGTGGCCAAAGGCTAATATCTTCTACTCTCACTGGTCGTTTCGCAGCCATATAGCAAGATCGAACGAAACTAACTATATGGACGCGGATTTTCATCTTTCGTCATAAAATCCTTAAGGACGAAGACAAAAATATTCCGATGGTGATTTTTGAATAGAACTAACGGAAGAACAATTTGGAACAACTGAAAAATTTAGGCTTTTCTTTTATTGGCTAATATTGACTGAGAAAAAATTACTATTTTAATTTTGATTTTTAATCTTAATTTTGATTAAAATTTTAGTTTCTTATTATTTTAATTATATATGTGGTGCACAGGTAGCTTCGTGGGTATGATCGCGAATGACCGTATACCACACTTTGGTAAGAGGCAATGAGACCAAAAACAAAAAAAAGTAGAATAGCCCAGTGGCTCTTATGCTCAGTTTGGAGTGGCCGAGTACACTTCTACATCCAATCTTTAGGAACAAAAATTAGGGCGATGCGATTAATTCACCTCTATTTCTATCAAGAAGTGGTTCACTGGTAAAATTTGCCTCGTTCAGCAAGCCAGAGGAGCGAGTTTAACGAGCAATGCTGAGTTCTTTTAGAAAAAAAAGTTAGGCCTTAATTTATTTGTTTCGCTGATGCTTTATTTGTGATTTAAAAAAACTTAGCTTCGATTCGATGGATTTTCAAATAAATATTGTCATAAGTTGAAAAAGAGAATTATTCATCATCACCTGCACTTCCTCATTTCTATTATTTTCAGATGTCATTAAATAAGCACATCCCTCACAAAAGAGGATTGTTTCTGGCGAAGTAAGAGGATCGCATAAAAGACTCGTATGACACCTTGCACATTCCTTTTGTTGCGGTAACTGCGTCGAGCTACATTGTGGATTGAAAATCGCAGCGATCTATAAAGTTTTAAAATTTCACAATTTTATAAATTGCTTCTATAAATGATTTTGGAAATGATTGAAATTATGAAATTTAGTTCATATATTATAAAATCTAACATTTGGTTGCTGTTGAAAGAGATTGTTTGTGGAATCAACCGTAATCGCGTCGACATTATGCGCTTGCGTTGCATAATATGGTGTGTTGATTCCCGATAATGTATTACACATACCATCGTATGATGGTAATTGTAATCCAGAAGGTGCCCGGGAAGCATCATATCTTAAATAATAGTTATTACCTATTTTATCATTAAGTCTTCCATTAGTGCTATTTTTTTTTGTTTTTTTGAGCCATCGTTGCAAATTTCTCAAGAAAATCTGGCTAAATCTGGATAAAGATATATATATATATATGTATATATAAAGCGCCTTATAATAAAATATTTTGGTACCATACGTCATAAATTATATGTTATGGTACTATATGTTGTAAATCATACACTTGGTAATTTGGAAAAAAAGGATTTTTTAATTTTTTAAATAAATTAGAAAAAATAGACGATCAATAGATTTCAGATACCTAGAATATAAAGCATAGCCAGCATTTGACAGAGGATTATTTGCTATTATTGTAGAGCTTTGCCCATTAAGATGTGAATTTATTTGAGACGGTGGTAAGTAAGCATTAGCATTAGCAGCACTTGGTATATTATAGTATGCAGTCGGATACGTATTGTATCCGTTTCCACTCGTTTGGCTTGCAAATGATTCCGAATTATAGTCAAATAAATTGAGTGATGATTGAGGAAATGCTGAAATTTTCGCTTTCTTTAATACAGAGTTTTTTTTTCGGAGATATCCAATTTTCATTTGGTTTACTCCACTGATTGACTAATTGGATGAGTTTTTTTGCTAGTTTAGAGGGGCATATGGGGATAAAAAGCACACGTGGATTTCTGATAAGATCTGGATCTGACTTTTAATGATAAAATTTTCCATCGAAGGGCTATGGCCGAATAGAGATTATGGCAATTATGTCGAAGTTATAGCCTCTACTACATCATACGATCTAATATTGAAACATTACATTTTTTTAATAGACAATTTAGATAATTTATTAGAATTTATTAGATAACTTACTGGGGACTGTAGCTTGTGCTAAATTTGATAACTGATAGGTTAGATTTGGCTGTTCGAATACGGGTTTTGCTTCATTTAAAGTTGATTGTGAGTTTGCAGATGCTTCGACTAGCACTGTTTGCCTTAGCAAAATTTGGTCATTTTGTTTCAAATTTGTTGCTGTACAATCTTAATGAGAAATAAAATAGGTGATACGATAAAAAATAATATTTTTAAGTGGATTAGGCAAATAAAATAAATGAATTATCCAAAAATAAATTCCATTTTTATTTATTTCTATTTTTATTGATTTATTTATTTACTTCATTTATCTTTATTATTCAATATCTTTTACAAAACGTTAGATTAATTTAATGAATTAAATTTCAAATTCTTGATGAATATTCATTAATATTATTATTATTATTATTATTGGAATTCCAAGTCATATTAAAATTGAATAACTACAGTCCCTTAAAAGATTATAAACAAATCAATGGTAATAAACCGTTTTCAGAAATTGTTTTAATATTAGGTGTTTTGTCTATCATATCAATGGTAGATAAAACTGGTGCTCTGCTTGAGGAATTAATGAACGTAGCAGAAATGCTTTGGTTGCAGCCATCGCGAATAGAATTCCACGGATACGAATGAACGGTGGGCGAAGCCTCCATCATCAGTTCTCCTTTTTTATTACACGATCTAAAGAAATTATTTTGCATATTTAGAATATTGAGATGTTAGTATAAGTACGATAAATTTTTTTGCTTTAATCAGAAATAATGATACTGATAATGATAATAATGATACTGATTTTGGTATTTATTAATAGATATTAAAAATATGGTGTACAAAACATAGCAATAATAAATTTATGGGTACAATTCAAAATTCACTATAGAATCAGAAAACAAAGGCATAGAAACTTTAATAATGCCATTTTCTGATCCAGAAAGGAATCAGCTTTTATTAAATCCTAAAATTAATTTGTAATATGGAACATTGTCTATAATTTTGACCTCGTTTCATTGTTTTTTTTATTTTAACTTTGATCATTTCATTTGGTTAAGTTATATTCTAAGAAATGAGCATCAGAGTTTCGATTCAGTGGTTTTGACAGGATTAAAATTGTTATTAAAAAAATTCGGATAGTGCTGTTCTATTATCAAAATCTAGGTGGTCTTCCTGGCGAAACTTTCTAAACACTTTCTAAACACAGCCATTAGTTTGCAATAGCCAGAAATGATACGAGATCAGAGAACCAGAAATGGACCCTCTTTTATTACCACCCTAAAAAATGATTCTTTCATAATACAGTGATGAAATAAAGGAATGTTTGAAAAAATAAATTTTTTGAATAACTTAAATATGGCTAAATTATATTAATTATATTTAGTACAGAAAAATTCTTTCATAATTCTATCATATTGAAATACAATGGAAAATATAACTATATATTTGAACTATTTTTTAAAAAAATTGCCTATAAGCTTTTCTTAGTCGGCAAACATTTTTAGCGTATAAGTCACCATACATATTCCGATTGGCATGATTTATGATATTCAACTATTATAAGTATCACATTATCACAAAATAGTATTTATGATATCGATGGATTTGTATGCAACTAAATGATAAATTTTGATTTTGTAATTGATAATTCTTCGTTAAATTATTCTCATATTCATATCCAAAGAGGTTTTTCATTTATTTCATGAGCTTTTACTTACAAAAATTTTAATCGCACTAAATAAACAACAGTATAAGTCATTTAAAATATATTTGGCCATATAAGCTTCGAACCAGTAAATATTTTAAGCACTTCAAAAAAAAGTATATTTTACTGGGTTAGTGAAAAATAAAAGTGGTATTTTCGACAAACAATATCCAAAGATCTTTTCAGATAAAGAGATAATGAATTTCGAGAAAAATTCAGTTATCATTTTCAAATTTCCTTTTCAATTTTTCTTTTTTTATCATTCTAGCGGCCAAGAGATGAATATTAACTATCGTTGTAAGAATTAAAATAGCTCATGAAAAAATAAACTATAAGCTATTTCATTAGGCAATTATACAGTGGTATCGTCATCATATATTTTTCATTTTGATAGTGAAAAAAAGTGTCTATCACACATCTTAAGGGAGTTTATTACGTTTGTCATTATTGCAACCATTATCAATATTCTTATTATCAACATTATCACCATAAACACAATATCGAATTAGATGAATATGTATCAAAAATATATAATCGCTATATATTGTTAGTTAATCTTATCACAAAGTGTAATGTGTCATCATACATAGATAGCGATAATGATTGTAATGAATTCTGATAAGTCCACATTAGAATAAAAATCGCTATCATTAAAAGGGTCTTTAATTAATGCTCTTATCGCCTTTCTTTTTTTTTTGAAATATTTTATCGGAACTTATCGGATTCATCAACTATACTATTAATAGTCTTAAAGAGAACCAAGAAAAGTCCCAAAAAAAGAGTCTCTTTTACTACTTCGAATTTAAAGAACACCTCAATCTATCCGATGGACTAAACGCATAAAAAACTTTTAGTGGAATAATGAGAGAAAGCAATGTCGTTGCTTGAAATGTACGTCTGCTACCATAAGTGGCGAATGAAAGCAAATTTAAAATACTGTAATATGGGACGCCTCCTTATGAATTAATGATGCATATAATAATTAAAATTATTTTAAGAATAACTTCGTAAATTTTATCTAATTTTTTTTTATTATTTCAATTATTCAATTATTATTTATTCACATATGAGAAATGAGCTAAAATCTCTTTTCGAAAAAATCTACTCTTTCCAGAAATTATAGCAATAAATCTATTGTTTGATTGGATGATCGCATATTGTTGTTGAAATTTAAGATAGGCGAAAATTTTTTACTAAATAGCGGACATCATAATTCATATCTTCAGAATTAATTCTTTATTATAGCTGGGCTCAACTCTATTACTTTCCAAGCCATAAATTATTAAATTAACAATGATAGGGTCAGATTAAAAAAAAAAAAAAAGATTTAAGCATATTGTAAATATTGAAAATTATGATGAAAATTTTCTACACATAGTAATCCATTTGAAAATCGAAATTTCCTTCTTTTTGTTTCAACATAATTCTTTTTTTTTTTATTTTATCATTTCATTTTATCACTGCCAGTTGAGCCGAAAAACTGAAAATGTCTGTGTATTAAATCGGCATGAAAAAAATAGCTCATTGATATATTCAAGAAGATTCAAGTATCTAATAAGGATTCAAACATCAACTGTTTTTAACTAGCAAATTTTATTGATTTCAACCTTCTGATATAGAATTATGGAATTGATAAGAAAAGATACAGTGGCCAATCGAGTCAATAACTGCTATCAGACGTATAATTAGATCCATTAACTATCACTGACTGAGCTAGTAGAATGGCTAAGTGGGTTGTCGCTTAATTCTAAATGCCTATGCTGAGATTCTATTCCTCGCAAGAGTAAACCTGCCTAAAAATCGGGATAATGCTGGCGATTCACCTGTACTTCCATCGCCAATGGACTCCCTGGCATATTTGTCCAGTGCGACAAACCAGTAATGGTAAGGACTCTTTAAAAAAAAAAAAAATTGACTGAGCTAGTATAGTAATTTTACGAATACCTGCTTTTTTTTATTTTAATGAACTCGCTCTTCATTATTATTTCATCCCTCAATCTCTTTTCACAATATTCGCTTATTTTTATAGTTTCTTATCATGATAATTACTATGATAAGAGTTATTATGTAGAACTAAATCTTACAGAAATCGAATTATTTTTGCATACTTTCAATATTTCTGTAAAAGATTTTAGTTTCAGCGAAAATGATTCTAAGCGAGAGATATGAGAGAGAAATGATGGTAGTGAAAACTGTCGGAATTTGAACCAAAAAAGTTGGAGTTCTCTTAAATGTAAAATTTTCGCTCAAAATCTCTTTTAATCCATTAGCAAATTGTTATTTCTTGCATATACCGTTTTTATATAATGGTACTATTTATTGGCACTTTTTTTTATATAATATTTTGTGCCTTAATAGAAACTTTACAGCAAATGAAGGATTTTTTTGTGCTAAGATTTGATTATAATTTTCTTTTATTGAATTGTTTTGATTCATCTATTATCACAAAATTAATTTCAAACCGTAAATACCATAAGATTATCAATAATTAATAATCAGCAAAGATTATAAATAATAAAAGTTGTTCTACCAATTTGCTAAGAAGCAAGTAAGTGATGATAAGTAATTACTCATCTCATCTATTTGGTAAGGCATATTCCGTGCTAATACGATGAGACCATTTTGCGAGTCACTTGCAGATAAGAATAACAGGCTGCTAAGTATTACTACAGTTTTAAATGGTATATCTACTCTTCCTCCTGATCAATGCAGCAATCGAATCAGGAAATTAGCTAGCGAGGTATAGTTACAGTAAATTTTTATAGCTTTTCTCGGATGATGGGAAACAATGATATGTTATGATAAGATAAATAAGTATATTATATTTAATATGAGTTAGTCGTACGGTGGTTCTATGATCTCTTTTGGCTAACCATTTTATTGATTATTGTATTATTTACATCATCAAAGATCAAGAAAATTTTTCACGAAAATTTATCTGAAATTTTTTCGGTTAATAATTTTAATTAGCATTATCATTTTGAGGTTTATGAAGATTTAAAAGTTGTAAATTGGTGTTTTTAGCATTTTCGTAAAATCGAATTCTGTATTTCTTAAATTTTCATGTAATTATCAAGTCGGCTCCTTGAAAGTAAATTTCATCATTGGGCAGTTATATCCGAGTGGCTTTCATAGGGCAAGTAATTCTATCGAGGAAAGGTTATCATGCCAATAAGCATTGCGATACTATTGGAATCATTAGAATATTTAGGACATTGAATTTATATCCGAATCATTCTTATAACTATTTATCTCAATTTAATTTAAATTCTTAAATAATAAAAGAAGCGCTCAGTGATAATTATTTGTCATCTAAAAGAAATGTTTGATTTTGAAGATTCTGAAAATATGGTTTTCAGATAGGTCATTCAGAAATATTATCTATATAAATATAATGGTAAATTTATAAAGGGCTTTATTTGCTAACGAAGTGTTCATCATATTCATCATATTATAGATAAGATAATTATGATATGTCGGTATCAATTCATGGAATTTTCCATTTCCCTCAAGGTGAATGACAAACAATGACCAACAAGATGAATGAAATAAGATGGTGATGATAGTTGCATGATTTTTCTCCTTTATAAAAATATAATTAATTTTCATAATTTTGTGGATTGATCGACGGTTAAAATGAGCGCATATTTCTTCTTATCGTAATACCGTTATCTATTTATTCAGATTATATGATGATGCTATGTAAACAAGAAGGTATCAACTACAGTCTCTTAATTTTTCCTATTAATTTCGATCAAATAATTCCTTCTATGTCTTAGAAAAAGAAAAATTTATAGAAGCATAATCAAAAAATTTATCAAAATTTATTCTTATATATTTTTAAGGAATTTGAAAAAATAATGTAAAATTTTTTGAATAAAATCATGAAATATAGAATATGAAGCAATTAGCACATAAATATCAAATTTATCAGTCGAAAAATATTGCTATCAATTGAAATTTATTAGGAAATACGCAGAAAAAATTGCTATCGATAAGCTAACAACGAAGATAAGACTCGAATCGCCTCACTGAATTGGAAATCCAAGAGGAACTCAATCAGTAAGGTATGTAATAATAAAAAAATATGATTATTATAGCTTTCATTAGATGCATGAGTAAGCAGAATTTTTCATGAATTACCCGAGTAAAATTTTATAAATATTGAAGGATTCTATAGTTTGAGAATGGCTAGATAGTTCCTTATAAAATTAAAAAAAAGAAATTAACTTTTCAATATCACTTGAGTTTCGAAAATTAGATTTATACCGGGAAAAAATCCATTTTAGCGAAGTCAGAGATGTTTCGCAAAACTTTATTCCAGTATAAATTGAGACGGCAATGTTTCAGTGAGATTTTAAATTGGCTATAATATGCCTTTGGCTTAAATTCTTGCAATATTGGGCTATTTATGGCATAAGCCAATGAATTATTTCCCAATAAGGTTTGTCATAATATCTCGATTAATTACGAATTATTATACAAGTTATTCGCCTTAACATACATATAATTTTATAGCCATTTTTGAATAATCGTGAAATAAAATTTTATTTTTTAAATAAAATATTTAAAATATATTTTTTGAAAAACTATATCATTCTAAGATTTTTTTACACTCCAAAGCGGTCTATTTTTTAAAAATATTTTAGAATTAGAAAAAAAGGCTCAAAATTTTAAATTTTTTCTACCAAAAATTATTAATTTTTGATCGATTAGAGGGATAAATTTTTAAGAATTAGAGGGATAAATGAATATTTTGGTAGAAAATAATGATAAAATAATAAATAAAATAAATAAATAAAATAAAAATAAAATAATAAAAAAATAAAAAAAAGAATAATTATTTATAAATAAATAAATTAAATAAATGATAAAAATAATAAAATAAAAATAAAAAAATGAATATTAAAGAATTTTATTCTAAATTAAAACTTATGCGATGGATTTTTCACTGCCAACCTGATGAATTCCCTTTAGATTGGTACTTAAGTGATACAGAACACTAACAAAAAAATTTTTTATTTTAAAACTAATCTTTTTGTTCTTTAAAAATTGGTATAGAAAATTATTGTCCGTCTTTAAACTCATCAAAATTATTTCCTCTAAATAAGATTGAGAAAAATTAAAATAGTTAAGTGAAATATTTTCCTTTTTTGACCTCAACGGCTGTATTGAAAAAAATTTTGAGTCTCGACTGATTATTTCCTTAATTTTTCAGTAATAACTATGAGCGTTTCGAAAAATTCGACACCTGCTGAAGGTGATCGGGCATCTCCAACTACAGTGCAAGAAGTACCATCATCATTGCCAACTACTCAGTCACCAATATTGTTCCCGAACAAGCCTAGTGAGCCTACTTTTCAGATGAAACTTGATCCAGAAAATAAATTAATTTTTAAAAGTGATAAATTAAACGAAAATTCAACAGCGGTAATTGACGTGAAATTAACGAACATAACGAATGTTCGGCAGACTTTTAAGGTATATTTTTATATTTATTTTTCACTTGAATATTTTATTATTTTGTAGTGAAAATATAAAAAAATTGCAGATCAATAGTGACCTATGCCCATACTAAAATGACTTAATATTTTTTAATAACTTTACTTTGGCAGTCACTATTAAATTTCAATTATTAATAAATAATAAAAATTTAATTTAGATCAATAATAAACCATAAAAAAACCATAAAAATGTTTCTAATTGCCTTTTGATTAGGCTCTTTCTATCAGTTATGTTGCCAGAAATATCACCAGAGATTCAATTGCGGATAGAAATATAAGTGGACCCACACTAGGATTATCATGATATCAGAAATGATAGCCTAAGCAATGGCAAGATTTGTTCAGTTTCTTAAAATTTTCCTGAAGAGCATGAACTGCGAGAGGAAACAAGAATTCTATCTCTCCTATTATACTCATGCTAGAGGAGCAAAATCCTTTATTCTAGCTGAATCTTATTTCAGGTGAAATGCACATCGACTGAAATTTTTCGAGTTCGGCCACCACTTGGTTATTGTGATGTGAATGAAACAATCAAAATTGTGATAACAGCTAAGAATAAAGCTATTCCAGAAAATGGGAAGCATTTCTTCGCTTTCTACCACATGAAAAGTGAAGCGGTATGATTTTATTTCATCTATCATGCATTCATTCAATGTGCAATGAAAAATTTTATGAAAAAATTAGCAAATAAAGCATAAATAATGAAATAACTCATTAAAACTGCAACATACATATGCCAATTGCAATTGGCTTGCTTTAAATGCGCAGTTATTAACAAATTTTCACTTGCAGAAGGAAATACCAGCCCGTCAAATTTGGAAAAAATCTGAATCGAAATTTGAAGGTGTGCATAGAGTTCCAGTTTTTTTCCAGACGGCAGATGAAAAGTCAGCAGTTGCGGAGGCGACACCAGCATCAACTCTACAAGATGATTCGAAAACGCCAGAAGCAACTCTACAAGATGGTTCGAAAACGCCAGAAGCAGCATCATCAACTAAGCCCGTATCAACAAATGAGGATGCAGCTCCCTTAGATACTAAATAGATATTCACCTCTCGAGATGTAATCATTTTTTATTTCGCACTTCACCTTTATTTATTTCACATTTATTTATTAATTTAATGGCTATGTGCAAGATTTTGTGATAAATATTATCATATCGAAAAATAAAATGCAAGAACCTTTTTTTTTAAATTTAAATTTTTAGATTTTTTTTAAATTTTAACGAAAAATAAAATGCAAGAACCTTTTTTTTTTAAATTTAAATTTTTAGATTTTTTTTAAATTTTAAATTTTTTTCCTAACGACAATATTTTAATGATGAAATCATGCTAGACTAGAATTATTTGAAGTATTGAGAATAATGATAAGTTATATTTATAATTCTTTCTATCGCTGTCATAGTCGATGAGGATGAAGTGATTTATTTATTGTTTTAGGATTATTTAACAGTTTTTACTGATAAGCTTTTGAACAGAAATGTTTTTGCTTTTTACTGGATATTGGAAATTTTTCAACAAATAAACGCTAATATTTTGGTTATGTTTTTAATATTATCATTCTGTTATTGCCATTCTAATTGAATAAATGACGAGTTTTTGTGCTAAATTAGGCCAATTCATTTATTTTATAGATATTTATATTCATAAATGTCGTGGATAGAACGCAATACCAGTGGTCAGTTAAGTATAAGTTCTTCATGGCCATGAAAATCCAATTGATGGTAGAATTTTAGGTTAGCATCTTTAACATGATTAGCATCTTCTAAGCTGCTTCATCTCTGTTTTTTTCTATATTTTTCGGTTTATTGAATTTCAGCCTTTTTTTGGCCGAAAACAATATTCTATAAGTTTATTATACAAAGTATATATATATATATGAAAAAATATTCGCTTAAGTTAATTCTTAATGATTCTTTCTTCTTCTAACAGCTCTCACTATTACTGGTTAGACTTGCTCCAACGGCTACAAGGGTAAGACGTTTCCAAGCGGCGCGGTCTGTTGCTATCGTCGAAAGTAATGGAAGCCATTCTTTTTTCTATCGTCTAAGTCCATGATTATAATAAGGTCGATAAAATTTAATAAAATTCTTGAAGGTGTTGCGGCGGCAATATATTTTTTGACGACTTAAACGAAATTTTTATGCTATAATCTGATAAATTAAACCTGAAATTGGGCAACAATCGAAGGAAGGGAGTATTGGAGAAAGTGGTAAGAAAGATGATTAAGCAATATTCAGTGCATCTTTGAGAAATCTTCATCGAATTTTTCATCGGATTGACTAAGTTATTCGCAAATGATTTAATGATCGACGAACGTTTTGCAAGATTTTATTTATAACACGGCGATTATTAAAATTGCATAGAAATTTATAGAAAAAATTTAAAATAAAAAAAGAAAAATGATAGAAATGCACAAAATGAATCGATCAAACAGTAAAAAATTTCTCCATGTTTCCTGTTTAACAATTTTTTTTTTCTTTACTTTTATTTCACAGTTATCAAAGAATTTTTACGAGGCTCATCGCAAGCGTTAACCTTAGTGACCCCTTTGACCTCTTTTTTTTACGATATTAATGATGAACATGGAATATTTGGTTAGGCGAACTGATTAATTCGCAGTTTTCTAGCCATTACTGATATGATTACCAATGATAACGGAATTTATTCATTTTTCTTTTTTTAACGAAACATATCAATGTTGGTTAGATTGTGCGCTGGGCTCCGTGGCTATAAGATATAATTTATTCGGCTGAAGCATATCTCACAAAAGGCATTTACTATAGGCATTGCTGAATGTTAAATTAGTTATCTTTTAATTTATTTTATCAATAAACTATCCTTATCATAGCTAACTTACTGGAATTATTGCAATTATTCTTGTTCTCATGAAAAAAAATTATCGAGAAATATTGCATGGATCTCACATTCAGTATTTTTCCATAAATCGGAAAGCGATAAGTGATTTTTTTCCAGAATAGAATAGAGGTGATAGCTTTTAGCTTTTTCATATTTAACATAAAATCGCTCTTCGACTGCAAAATTATTTCACTTTACACTTTCTCATTTTGCACATATGACTGATAGGTTGAATTGAATTAAACTATTTATTATCTTTTCGCACGATTTGATTTTATCAATCTCTCTTAAACTTAATCCTTAATTATTTATTTATTTTATAATATATAATATATAATAAAGTAATAATTCGGTTTATTTTATTTAATCAGTTGTTCATTCAGTAAAAAATTTTAACTAAAAATAATTGATTATCGAATAGTTTAACCGAACCAAAAATGCTACAATTGAAAGTGGAAGAAAGAGGCATTTCATTGTTTTTATAAAAATTATTTTTTTCAGAAATAATTTAATTTAATTTTTAGAAATTAATTTAAAAATAATTATTAAGCAATATATATATATATATATATTAGTGAAATTTATCGTGATTTACCGTTTAAATTTTTGCTAAAAACTTTGCGAAATTATTCAAAGAATCGAAGTTAAATCGTCACTAAAAACTATTTTTACATCGCAAGCTATTCGTTTTAAAAGATGAAATCTCGACCAAGAAACTTGGATGTGGTTAGTTGTATTTAAGAGAATTAAGAATGATTTTTGATTTCTTAAATAATGATTGATAAAGAATGATAAAGAATGATTCCTTAAATATCCATTATAAATTTATAAATATTTATGGATAAATTATCAAAAATTTGACATTTTATCACGGAAATATCACTTCTCAAATCTTTATTCAAATCGATAATAGAGATTTAATTTGGAATAGAGTTGTACTCTTAAAATATGACCTAATTTGGAATTGGTACTTTTAAAAGTAAAAGAAAATATTTTTTAGCTTTCTCTCTAAATTTTAAGATTCATCATGGTATGGTATTGCTTAGCGATGGTAAGGGTCGAGGACAATCAGCTCGACTTCAACTAACTAAAGGTTGCTTTTTATGAATATTCCATATTTTATTCTAAATAATACTCTTGCTAATGTAATAAAAATTGTTTGATATTTAGATTCGCTAACTGTTCAAGTAATTGCCGGTTCATTTTATCCGGAAGATTTAAATGAGACGGCTCCAGAATCAGATACTGGAATCAGAATTGTGAAATTGCAAAAGAAGAAAGATGGAGGATTGGGACTCTCCATTAAGGTCTACTGGTTTTCTTTGCTTTCTTACTTATCCTTATCCTTCCTTATAAATTATACTTATAAATAAAAAATCATTTTTTTCTCTTAATTAAATTAATAATAAAATAACATATAAAATAATAAAGGTTATATATTTCTAATAAATAAGTCAATCTTTCAATGATAATTTTATTTCTAATTTGTAAATTGTCTTGGATCTGATATCAAGCAAGCCAGGTCATTTTTAACATTTGACATAATTCGAGGATTATAAAACTCGACTTGTAGATATATGAGCGAAATTCGTCACCTAATTATTTACTATTATTGCATAAAAAGTAATTACTTACTTAATAATAATAAATAATAAATTACTTAATAATACTACTATTACTTATTACCTAATTACTTATCACTTACTACTATTGTATAAAAAGTAATTATAATCTTTTAAGGGTGGAATGGATGGAAATCAACAAGTTCCAGTTGTTATATCGAAAATATTTCCTAATATGCCAGGTTCACCAATTTCACCAATTTTTTTCTTTTTTTTGCCAATTTGTCCGATCTATTTGGTGTATTTGTCCAAATACACCAAAATAAGAATGCATAATTTTTTAAAATTTAGTATATTTATTTTAAATGAAAATATTTAGCCGAAGAAAGCGGTTTATTATACGTTGGTGATGTAATAGCGGAGGTAAATAACCAAATCGTCGATGGAAAGACGCATGATGAAGTGGTGCAAATGTTAAGAGATGCCGGAGATGAAGTTGTGCTTAGTGTACGACATTACACCTATATCGCACCGTACATGAAGTAATGATTCTTTAAAATTTTCTATGATCCTTGCTAGTCTTTAAAAATTCTAAAATTTTTTCAGACCAGCTGATTCTTTACGCCTAAAAAGTAAAAGTTCATTGAATCGATTATATGAGCCAAATATTTGGAAAGTTAGTTTCATATTTTGAATTAAATATTTGCATAATCATTTTATCAGTGATTAAATAAAAAATTTATCATGCTTATTTCAGAGTGCATTAAAATCACAATCAACTAATATATTAAATAAAAATGATAAGCTTGGTGATAACGATGAGATGATGGATGAGGCACCTGAAGGCTGGCGAACATTAATCAAAATACCTCTACCAATGGCGTTTATTACGCGATATCTATGGGGTACCGATAAAATTCGGTATTTTTTTTTCCGCTTTTCCATGAAAATATTTTAGAAAATCAATTTTTTAAACATAAAAATAAAATTTTTCATAGTATTTTTTCTTCCTCTTTATTTTTGTTATAAAAATTTAAAACTTCTTTTTCCTTTTTTTAAGAAATAATGCATTCGAAGTTCGAGCAGTTGACGGTGCATCGACTGGAATTATTCATTGCGAAGATAAAGGTACACTGGATCAGTGGATTAAACATATACAGAATCATATTACTCAACTCAATCAAAAGTCAATAAATCTTTCAAATAAATACCTTCATAAAAATGAACAGGTAAGTGATTCCGCTAACCAACCGCATCGCACTGCCTATTTTCGCATGTAATGCCTATTTATGAAAATAGTAAAGATCAATGATATCAATTATTGGCCCAGCGATGATTGAACCTTTGGCTCTTCAAGCATTTTAAAAAACGCATAGTTTATATGATCTTTCACTGATCTAAAGAATTGTGTTCCAACTCTTCAATAGTTCACTTTACGATTTTATATGAACCAATTACACCAACAATTATTTTAAATTATTTGTAGATAATCTATATAGGATGGGTGAGCGAACGCCTTCCAGAGGAACATTTTGAGGATCCTCGACAGCGTTGGGAACCACGCTTTATAATACTCAAAGGCGGCGAACTGTGCATATTTGAATCACCTCCAGTATGTTTTAATCATTTTAACTCAATTCGATATATATTTTGCACTAATCTTATTGGTTTATAGTCATCGGGCATTATTAAATAAAGAAAATGTTGAGTCGGCTGGAGATTTTTAAATAGATTCAATTAATTGGCCAAGAAATTCACAATTTTTATTAATTCAATTTCATTCGTTTATAATGAAAAAGATTCGATAGATTCGATATTTTCTAGCTCAATTCCAATGATCTAAACAAATGTGTATCGCTTTATAAGATCTACGACACAGCGTTTAAAATAATAGGAAAAGGCAAATCTGGATTAGATAAACGAGACCATTGCTTCTGGATTGAAACTTCGTTGAACGGAATCAAACATTATTTATCCACTGAGACTCATCAACAATTCTCGCAATTCGAAAATGCCTATCATCGATGTTTATATTCAACTGTCAATAATTTACAAGTATTCCTTTATATAACTGAATATGATTATATTATTTTTTAGTGGAATTTAGACGAATTTTCGACCTAAAAAAAAAGAACTGAGGAAAGAATTGAGAAAAAACTGATAAAACGAATGCAATTAATCAAAATACATAAAAAGTTTCTACCGACAGCAATTCCGGTTTCGTTGGTTCCACTATGAGAATGAAAACACCACCTGATTTGCCAGATATTTACATGAAGAAAGAAAATTACTGCGAGATCCCTAACTATAACCAAATTTAACTGACTGAGATATGGCCTAGAAAAATAAAACAAACAAGACAGTTAGACTATGAAATAATTTTAGACGAGAACATTTGCTTGCAATTACGAAGGAAGACCATGTGGTCTCGTTATCGATATTAAGCAAGGAATCAGCCTTTACGATATTCCCACAAAAGTAATTGCTTTTTCAAGTTTTGTAGTTTTTTTTTCAAATAATTCACCGCTCTCTGAGTTTCTACAAGTATTTCAGCGGCAGAGAGAGAAGGGAGAGGAGGAAGAGGTGGGGGAGGGGGGAGGATTCAATACAATAACTGAATTGAGTAAACCACCAGATTAATTTATAACGAAAAATACATAATAAACGATGGTACTGGATGAATAGGAATATATTTTCAGAGATATACATGGCAGTACAGATTTATGGACTTAGATTCATCATCTGATGACGGCAAAATTCGCCTTCGTTTAGCTTTTTGTAATGAACGTGGGAAAAACAATGAGAATGGACTTCAAATTAAGGTAATTCATTTGGTACTTTATTTTAATGTTATTAATGCAAGCAGGTGGCACTTGTCGCTCGACTTGGCAGCCTAAATAAATAAATAATAAATATCGCGATTTTTCGCTATTTTTATTTCACCTGTGCTGTTGCTAACTATAAAAGAGGAATATCGACAGAGGAAAATTTCAGGATATCGACAGTGATGAAGTTCTTTCCATTGTCTACACGATGCATGCATTTTATATCACGAAAATTATTGCAAGTGATCCCGAATATCTGAAAACAATTCCTCTCACATAGGCGAATTAATGTGATTTTATATAAAATATATATAAATATTTCTTCCTTGGAAGGACAGTTCGAGCTCAAATAAATTAATAAATCACAACAACTGTAGCTCGGGCTCAAATAAACCAATTAATGATATCCAAGCATTGCATTTCGCAGTCAAAAGAATTATATGACAATTGATCGCGAATGGAACTATCTTCAGAGCAATGTAGCATAGCATTGTTATGTTAAGAAAGCTATGCTCTTTTGCTTCATTCCTGAGCTTCTCCCCTCTACCGTAAGGCAAAAATTTTGACGCACTGATGCGCCGAGCTTCTCGTACTTCGAACGTTGCATTTTAATGCAATGACTTATATTTTAACTTAAAAACATCGAAAAGCAAAACTATGGGGAACCATGTCACGGAGATCTGACCTGTGGTGGTTCACACTGTGGGAAACGCAGTCTCTCCAGGTTCGAATATCAATATATATAAAGGAAATTAAAAGCAATTCAAATAGACATCCCTGTAGCAACATATATTTCATAGTACGGAGCTATATTATGAACCCTCATGGCTTGTCCTAAGCAGATAGTACCAACACAAACCCCCAACAAAATCCCCTATACGCGCAAAAGCTGCTACAAATTGAAACATCAAAGTAATCCGTTGGGGCTGACTTGTAGTACTCGAAATTATGCCTGCAAAATTATAAATGGCAGATGGGGTCGGATTAAATGCTGAAGATGTTCATGAGGTCGAGTTTCGAATTTCGATTGTGTTATAGCGGGTTCGGGGACCTACTTGTCTTCTGCAACGCCTTTTTGCGTCATTTCTCTACACGTCGCTTTCTTCACTGCCAGTATCTTCCGAGTGTTCGACACACGAAATGGCCAAGTAATGTTGTTTGTGGTACTTTCCAATCTTTAACCTAAACTTAGTTGGTTGGTAAATGGTTGAAAATTTAGAGAAAAAGGAGAGTATATAAGGGGATATAAGCGCATTGAGGTAAATAATCTTATGTCTTTAAGGTATAAAAATAAGTATTATTATTATAATGAATATAAATATTAATATATTTATATTAGTATCATTGTTGTTATTATAAATATAAATGGTTTGCGGTACTGGACAAATATGCCAGGGAGTCCCTTGGCGATAGAAATACAGGTGGATCGCCAGCATCACCCGGATTTTTGGACAGGTTTACTCCTGGAGTATAGAACTTCAATTTCGGCGCTCCGAACCATTCTGTTCCTTAATATTTTATTGGGTTTCTGAGGATTTTTATAGGTTTTGATTCCGATTCTATAGTTGTTATTTCTTAACCATAAAACATTGCGTTAATGGTTGTTTTTTTGTCTGTTCTAGTCGAATGTTGAATGTTCTCGAAAGTTGTATTGATTCTTCTATAAGGTCTATTTTTCTGTAAGATATCACTCGTCTTAAGTACATTAAAAATTTTTTTTTACTGGTTAGATTCGTTCCATTGGCTCGGAACATTGAACAACTATGCCAAGGGGGACAGAAGTACAGGTGAATCGCCAGTATCATCCGGATTTTTGGACAGGTTTCGGAATAGAAATTTCCGTGAATTATAATCGGTTATAACAGTTATAAAATAATCGCACTAATACTAATAAATATAAAATTTTACATATTCCAATTATAATTTTATAGTTTTTTAAAGTTTTAGTCAAAAATTTTCTTCATAAAAATATACCAAAATTTTATTCTCTCTTCATTTAATGATAAGTCAATTAAATTTTTTTGCGGCGTATTCTTTTTTCGCAATTTATACGTCCAAATTTGAGAAAATATAGTTTAGTTCCATTAGAAAATTGAAAAAAAGTCCTTTACTTTAAATCTTTTAATTTTAAATTTTATTTTTGATTTTGTTTTATTTTGCTGATTTGAATTACAATAAGTTAAAACTGAATAATTCATCTATAAAACCCATTTAAATTGGTTGTAATAATCGCTACGGAAAATGCCGTTTGCAAAATTTTATCTTTTATGGATATTTTAATAATAATAATAATAATAATAATAATAATAATAATAATAATGATAATAATAATAAATTAAATGAACTACATAGAGCTTATTTTAAATCATTATCGAATTCGATTACATTAATTATCTTTTGCCAGTATTCTGCTTATTTTTTATTACTTATTGACAAGCACAATGTCCTTTACATAAAATTGATGAAAACAAGAAAAGAAGCAATTTTCTTCAATAGAGTAGATTGTTACGATTATATATATATATATATATATATATATAGTTGAATTGTAATTGAATTGTACTTGAGGAAGCTATACGGGGTGAGAAAGAGGTTTCTCTCACCAAAAACAATTAGCATAACAATTTAACTGGAGATTTCATTTATTTTTTTAATATACTTTGCATATGAATGAAATTGCTTAATTTAGATTATGGAATGATCAACATGTTATAAAAACTGCGAAAGAAGAGAATATTCCTGACACAGCTATCAAATTCGGAAAAGATTTAGCGATCGGTGCAGTCGCAGCTATCATCGCTAAAACGATCGTCGCACCTATCGAACGCGTTAAACTTGTCTTACAGGTTTATTAATGAAGTAATTATTAAAAAAAAAAGTTTAAAAATTTGCATTCATATGATTTATTCTTGATAAAATAGCTTAATTGATAGGAGTTAAAATAGAGATTGGTAGGGTGATGGAAATACGTAGGGAAAAAAGAAAGAAATAAGCATAAGATGTAGTAAATTTTTCTGGTGAATGTTGTTTTTCCAGCTGAATAGATCGTAATTCTTAAATAAACTGGTGAAAAAATATCTTTAGTAATTGAAGATATCTTTTCCATAAGACTCTTGAACATCGAGCTAAATTATTATTTTCCATTTTAAAATTAGATTATTAATTTATAGAACAAAAACAAATAAACATGTTATTGTAAACTATTGCGCATTTCTATACTTCTTCCTTCATTTTCAATTTTTCCTAAGAAATAATTCCTAAGAAAAATTTAGCCCAGATTTAATTATATTTGAAATAAATTGAATAACGAATAAAATTCCAACTAAACTCTTCTCAGATTTTTGTTTCCTGTTTTTTGCTCCTAAAAAAATTACAAAATATTGTGTTAATTTTTTTGGGAATTTTAAATAAATTTTGTAATTATTAATAATACGATAATGGCTGGTTAATCAGTTTTTAGCTTCAAAATGCCCAAGAAAGAATATCGGTAACGAAACGTTATCGTGGAATGATGGATTGTTTTATACGGCTTCCACGTGAGGAAGGATTTTTCTCATTTTGGCGTGGGAATTTGGTGAATATCGCCAGAGCTTGTTCTCAGGTTGATTTTTTGATTTTATCGGCATTGTGCTTTTGATATTGAATATTTTCATTGAGTGATTTTAATTTGTTTGGTCGTTGAGATTTTTCAATTTATAGGAATCTCTTGGTTTTGCTTTCAAAGATTTTTTCAAAATATGGAGCCTTAGCGGTGTTTCGAATGATAGCTACTGGAAGTTTTTTACTGGTGAGTTATGAGGAATTATCGACAACGATTTATGATTAAGTGCTCTTGAATTTGCCATGAATTTAGCTTTGCACAGCTAAAAAATTAAGAATCGATTTTCAGGTAATATTGCTGCCGGTGGCGCTTCAGGGATTTCAACTTATTGTGTAATATATCCACTCGATTTTGTTCGAACTCGGTAAGAAAAATGATGAAGAGGATCTTATCATATCATTTTTTCTAGTTAGTATTATAAGCGTTTTTTTAGTACGGTATTGCCATTTTTTTAATCATTTCATTTACGTTCATTAATGATTTTCTTTTTTGACGTCGATTTTTCAATGAATAAATTAAGTACCTAGTAAAAATTTTTGGTCTGTTTTCACGAATATTTATTAACTTTATATTATTTGTTGGTTGTCATGCTACCACTAATTTTATCGTGATTATTTTAATAATTATAATTATTAATAATTATTTTTTATGGAAAATTTATAGATTGGCAGTCGATATGGGAAAAGGAGTGAATCGAGAATTCCGAGGCTTTTTCGATTGTTTAAAAAAGATTATTAAGCATGAAGGTGTTCGTGGATTGTATTAGTAAGATTATTACTTTCATCAGAAATTTTAGAGTATTAATTGTCAATTTTTTAAGTGTTTTGTCTTATTTCAGTGGTTTTGGGCCATCGATACAGTACATTTTTATTTATCGTGGAGCTTATTACGGGCTTTTTGATTCAGCTAAAGTTTTTGCACCAAGCAACGAAAAAAAGCAAATTAGTTTTCTATCCGCTTTTATTATTGGGCAGGTAATTGGGCCATATTTTCTTTCCTTTTCATATTTAATATCTTTTTCAACTTTTTCAACTTTTTTTACTCCTTTTTATATTCATATAGGCAATGCTTGTTATTACATTTGGTTATTTTAAAGGAGTTTTAAAGGATTCGGTTCCTCTTCATTGTTTTAAGAAAAATATGCATTTTCCCAGTTCCCCTTATATCGAAAACGGTATCATACCATATTATAACATTATTTTCAGTCTTCTGGGTGTTCTCTAATTCTCTTTTTTGCATTTTCATTTTCTTTTTCTTCCTTTAAAATAATTTTTACAATTGCAGTTTGTTACTTTCATTGCTGCATTTATTTCATATCCTTGGGATACTATTCGTCGTAGGTTAATGATGCAAGCTGGGCGGAACGATATATTATATCGCGGATTCATTCATTGTGCAAAGGTAAGATATTAAATTGTTTTCTTCGATCTCTTTAGGTGAAATTACAAAGTTATTGGTCCTAACAGAAATATTATAAAATGGTTTTTTGTGCAAGAACTGTTAGCAGCTAATTGGGTTATTTTTTTGGACGAATGGGAAATGTACGAAGGCGTTTTCATTATATTTTTGAATGTTTTTTATTTAATTTAATTTTAAAACTAATGAAATTGATCTTAATAATCAAAGAAATATGTTTTGCAGAAAATTTATTATGAAGAAGGATTTCGAGCATTTTTTAGCGGAATGTTGCCAAATGCAGTACGAGGAAGCGGTGCAGCGCTCGTTCTAGCTTTTTATAATGAATTTTCCAAATATATATGATCTTTTATGTTTGTACATTGTTTAGGAACAACCAGTTTTCTATCGAATTTTTATAGTTCAATTAGGACGAGCAAAATTTGTTGTGGTCGAAATGAGGTGAAATATATGTTCAATTTTTTTAGTTTGAAATTTTTTTCAGAGGCTTTTTAAAATCATATATCATTGAAGGGAGCATGAGTGGAAAGATACATGAATTTAAAGCGAAATTATCAAAAGGCATATGAAAAAATAAAGGAGTACTGTGGGATTTAGGGAAAGTATTCATGGTATGAAGTGGGAGAGAATTTAGAGGAGTATTTAAGGATTATTAATTGGTTATGAAAAAAGTAATGAGCAATACATTAGGATTTATAGCAGAGTCTGAGAGGTTTCACAACTGGCAAAGTATAAGAATAAGAAAATGAAGCATAGGAAAGTCGAACGATTACTGTCGGATTTTAGCAAAAGCATTTGATAGAACATGGTGAGGCACTAAAGAGGACTAGGAGGTTTTGGGTCCAAAGGGTTATAATAGTCTCTGGATTTTCCCTTACGATGTTCTAAAGATTATGGATTGTGCTTGCTGATATGTAAGAATTGTGATCTATGTGCAATTCAATCCAGTTGAATGTGCTGATGTGTGGTCTTTTTTATTGACAGTTATGACTTACAACAGACGCTCGACTGTTTACCGATAATTGCAGCGGAAAGCCAAACTCGGGATCAATATAAATAAGACGAAAGATTTTTTTTTCTTATACGAGACATGAATAAGTTCTCGAATTTATAAAATAAGTTTTTTATAAATTGCAAATTCATTGGTTGAGGGAGCATCAGATTTTTGATATATATTTATTATACTACCAAATGGCCAAATTGGTGAAATTCCAACTTGAACAGACGTAGCCAGAAATTTTTCTTCCATCTCACGAAACCTTTTGTAACAAAAAACGCTGAAACGAATTTACATTCCTATAATATGACTGCGAAGTATAGCCAGTGAGAGCGGAATATATCAGAAATTACCTAAACTTTGATTTTTTGTTTTAATGAGTTATATTCTATCGAACCGACCCTATCTACGGTGACATATTCACCTTCAATCGAATATCATATTATAGCAAAATATTATTTGCATTAGGTTGGGCCATGCCGTTTGCAACCCATCACAGAAATTATCGATACATTATACAGGCTTGCGATGGCATCAAAATCGCGAAGGTCTAGTGAAAACATTATATTATAAGGTCATGAAATTTGGAAACACGGACGACTCAGAAATTATGGGTATAGACGATGGAAGAGAGAGTGAGGATTTTCATTATATTCAGATATGGTATCGGGTAAATTTGGAAATTTGTCTGAGGCAAGTGAACCCATAACCAGTAATAGAAGAATGAAGATAAATGCAAGGGACTGAATTAGGAAATTAATATATGGTGGTTTAATAATAATATATGGCGAAAGTATAGCAACATATTTGAAAAACGTTGAGAGAGCATAATAATTTCTTGAGAAAAATTGAGTATATTAGGTTTAAAAAGTTATTGAAGAACTGCAGGAATCTGACAGGTTGGAGAAAAAGAATACTGTGGACGAAAGATAACTTGTAAAAAATGAGAGAAAGGATCATGGGAAGACAGGGGATAAGAGAATGTTGAGAACGTGTCTAACGATGTAACCATATTTTAATTTAATTTATATATTTTCAATTCATTGAAATATCTGTGTTCTATTTTTTGAATGTTGCGATTTAGGATTTTATAATTTTTATTTTAGAGGATTTTATAATTTTTATTTTTATTTTAACTCTTAACGTTACAGTTATTGTAATCATTTATCTTTTAAAAAAATTCATCCATGTGATAAAAATAAGCACTTGAAATAGAAATTGAGAAACAAAACTAGCAGGAAAATCTTGAATTTAATATTTAATAAATCTTGAATTTTTAAAAATAAATCTTGAAAAAACTTGAATTTAACCTCATTTTACAATCTCAAAAGTACAAAATTCAACAAGGAATGGTAGAAAATCTTATCTCAATATCTTATCTTAACATAGAATTTAAATATTTAATAAAGGAAAAACGAGAAAAAAAAGATAATAAATCGATCGATATTTAATAATTATTCAACAAGGAATGGTAAGACATCAAACCTGAAGAATAACTGAATGATAATTCCTAAGATAATTCTTCCAATAATTTTGCTGCTTTCTTACGCAGTTGGTCTGAAAAAATAAATCAAGAATAATAAAAATTATAAAATTTGATGAAATATAACTGATTTTGCAGCAAAATCAATGAGATTTAAGTACCTTCTATAAGAATATTTTCTCTTATCAACTATGCTTTGTTTAAAATCTCTAGTCTCATTTTTCTTATTTAAAATTTGAAAAAAGCATTAAATTTTGGAAATTAAATAAAAATTTTAGTACATTTTATAAGAATGAGGAAAACATACCGGATTCCTTATCTATCCATTGCAGAAGAACTAAATGACGCTGCAAAATTTGAGCGATTGTCTCTACCGAATCTTCCGCATCGTTATCTTTCTCAGACGGTTTTTGCAATTCTTCCAACTATAATGAAGAAAATAAAGGAAATTTTTTTTCTCCCTCTTTATTTTCTAAATAAGTGGTCATTTTATTTATTCTATTCTATAATTTTAAATTTTTCCAAACACTTATGTTTTTGAAAGTTTTCGAAAACGAGATCAAATTTTAATTTTAATGAAAATAAAAAATTTTGCATAGGGATGCCAGAAATTAATTCTCGAAACCAAAAGAATTTAAATTATTTTAAGAACCTCTTCATTTAAATCGTTAATATCATCACCAATTTGCTTTAACTGAGCGTCGACATGAAGTTGCAATTTCAGCCTGGAAATTTTAAAAGAATAAACAACTAGTGACTAGTCTTGATTTTTTTAAACATTTAGATATAAATCTGTAAATATCAAAAATTTCCGATAAAAACAACATAAAAAAATACAATGCTTGGCGTTGGAGATCAGCTCGTGTTGCTACACTAGGATCTGGCAACTCGATTGGTTTCATTTCCGACCATTCTCCTAAACCCAATGATTTTTCCATATCATTCACTATAGCTTCCATCTCAATTTGCTGTTGCGATAAAAAATCAACGGAATGAATAAACTGATCTTTCTGTTGTTCCATAACCTTTATATCTTCGGCAAATGATAATATCTAAATGTTATTTTAGGTCATATTATATTGTTTCCAAATTTTGATGAAAATTTTTGTTTTCAAATTTTTAAAAGTAAATAAAACGTATGATTCAAGAGATATCCGTATTTTTATCCATATATATTCATCAAAATTTACCATTAAATTAAAATCCTACTTTTTCTTCATTTTTTCTGATTACGCGGTCGTATGCGTTAAGTTCAAGTACATGATCCATAAATGATCGTTCTTCAGCTTGAACATCCAACACTAATCGATTAAGCAATTGTTCCAACTGGCCGAATTGAACTGGCTTTTCAGCACTAAATTAATACCACGCCAATACATTTTTTAAAATCAATTTAAGAAAAAAAAATTTCAGAAAAATACATTTTTTAAAATCAATTTAAGAAAAAAAAATTTCAGAAACAAATACAAAAACTGAAAGCTTCACATCTACAGAAAATTTCAAAAAATTGTCTTGCCAAATAATAATTTTTTTCAATAAAATTAATCAATCAACAATACCTCAATAATGCAGTTGCTGGTGCAGTAGAAGCGGTTGCAGTAGAAGTTGGAGCAACTGTAGTAGCAGCAAATGTACTAGGAGCAGATGTAGCCAGTGGCAAAGAGGTGGTGATGGTTGTCGATGGAGGTAAAGATGAAGATAATGATGAAGGTAAGGAAGGTGTAGTTGAAGATGTAGTCAATGCTTGAGTACTTGCCAAAGACGGAACAACCAGTGGTGTAGTTATTGCAGCACCAGTGCTCAAAGGAGTAGAAAAAAGTCCACTAGTTAAACTAAATAAATAAATACGAATAAAAAATTTTTGAAAATTACTCCAATTATATCCATTATCGTTTATCACCGTTTATCAATATAAAACCGCGAATACTCTCATTTTTTAAATTAAAGGTATTCTCATAATCGAAAAACAAACCCAGCTGATGTTGTTGAAGATTTTTGCAAGCCGAACGAAGGGAAACTTGGTACAGTCGATGCTAAAAATTGCACTGGTACTTACATAAAAAAAGCGAATTATAAATGAATTATAAATTCGTGAATGGATTAAATAATTCTGGATTATAGTTGATCAAAACACGATTTATGAAAATAATAAAATAAAAGAGCACAAAAAAAAGTAAATATCTTATAATTTACCTGCACTGGTCAAACCGAATGGAGGAGCGCTATTTGTTACTGAAGTAGTGGTAATTGGCGCAGCAGCAGTTGCGTTAACACTAGGAGTGCTCATCAAGCCAAATGAAAACGTCTGACCAGTGGTGGCCACCACCGTGGTATTCGGCTGACCTAAATTATTTATGGGATGAATTTGCTAGTTTTTATTCTATTTAAAATTACTAAAATATTTTTATTCATTATTTTTTAAAATTACTAAAATTATTAAAAAAGCAGAAGATATTTTACCATTCATACAGAAAAGGAGCAAGCTGGAATCAATTCAAAATATTTATTAAATTAGTATCTTAAATTAGCATTGAAGTGCTACTTAGAAATTGTTGCAGTTCTGTTTTAAATAATCAAAATTTATATTTTCGACATCCACACATTTTCCAGCTGACTTTACTATATTGCTGAAACTTACTTAGAGCGAAGGACGATGTTGTCGTAGTAGATGTGGTAGTTGTAATAGTAGATGATGTTATTGTAGCAGTGGATGGTGCCGTACTTGTTGTTGTTGTAGCAGAAAGTGTTGGAACGAATGGCTTTTGACCAAAAGTTAGTCCAGAAGTTACAGTCGATGTTGTGATACCTTAAAATCGTAAATTAAAAATAGAACAAAAATGAAAAATTTCTATTAAAAAAAAGTTAAATAGAAGATTTTTTTCCATATTTTCAAGATTTTTTTCAAGAAATACAGTATATGAATGAGGCAGCAAGATAAAACAAAACATATGCCGAGTTATATATAGAATTTAAATTTTTATAATTATCTTATCTTCAAACTTGTTGGTGTTTTTTTATTGATAATTATTTTTATGGAAATTATTATAAGAAGTATTAAAGTATTAAAGAAGTATTAAAGAATGTCGAATTACAAATATTTTCTCAAAAAAATGAATGTTGATTCTTCTTGTTTCCCACAAAAAATAATTACGACCAAACTTAAATATAAAATTTGAATTTTTTGAACTTCTTTCTTCATGAAGATAACAGGAAGGTAATTTGGTTGCAGTTATTAAAAATTTCTAATAAAAAAATTTGATGAAGTATTGGAAAAATATTTAAATATTCTTTAAAAATTTCTACATTTACTAATATTATTTCGTTTATTTTATATTTTATAAATTATTCATTTTATTTTATTCATTTATATTCATTATATTATTCATTTTATTTTCATGGTTTCTAATACAAATCCGATATAGTAATATTTGCTAGTCCTTTTCCTAAATAAATAAAAATAAATAAAAAAGTTATAAAGCACCTGTAGAAGGAGCAAAATTCGACTGAGCATTGGTTGCACTGCCAAAGAGACTGGTAGCCTGTTGAACACCAGTTGTCGTGGCCGCACCAAACTGTGGGGAATTTTGCAGATTACCAAATAAACTAGAAGTCTGCTGAGTCTGTTGTACTGTAGTTGGAGCAAAAATATTAGAAGTGGGTTGCGTAGAACTACTTGTAGCATTCATTACACTACCAAATAAACCTGGTATCTGCTGTTGTGTGGTAGTTGGAGCTGTAGTTTGTGCCAAAGTTGAATTACCGAACAAACCAAGGGATTTCTGAGTTGTAGTAGTAGTAGCAGAAAATGGTGTTGAACTCGAAATAGTGCTGATGGTGGAACTACCACCTTGAGTCGGACTGCAAAATGTGGAAGCTCCAAATAAAGTTTGTTTAGGTGTTTCTGTGCCTATTTTTCCGAAAATATTCGTTCCAAATTGTGGTGTCGATGAAGGAATTTGTGTAGTGGTCGCACTACCAAACAAACCAACACTAGCATTTTGCTGAGCCGTTGTTACAGGTGACGTGCCGAATAAGCCAGTAGTTTGTGGTGTGGAAGCTGCTAAACTACTAAATAAACCAGTTGTTTGACCAGAAGTAACTGCAAAAAAACCGCATAAATTACAAAATTATAGCTGGAAACAATGAAAAAACAGATAAATTATTAATAATTTATTTTTAATAAGAATATTAATTAATAAGAATAAAGTCAAATTAATAAGAATAAAGACAAATATTTTGATTGCAAATTTAAGAAAAAGAACATGAAAAATTATTGCAATAAGCATACCAGTTGATGGAATAGCTGTACCAAATATTGGCTGAGTTACAGCGTTTCCAAAAATTGATGTTGTGGTTGATGTACTTCCTGAACCAAACGAAAATATTGGTGGAGCTGCTGCCGATGTCGTTGATGAAGCAGTATTTTGTTGCTGTCCTTGCGCTATATAAATTCATTCTTATTTTGAAGCCACTAGTCCATTTTAACCATACAATTTGAATGGGCCGAAAATGCCCTTCTAAAACTTAATAATATTTTATATAAAAACTACCTGTAGAAGCCGATGAACCAAAATTAAATATTGAAGATGCAGATGTCTGTGGTGTTGAAAATAATGATGTGTTTGATGTCTGAGTTGTTGCTGTTGGAGGTAAAGAGCTTTGAAAAAAACCAGTGCCGACATTTGTATTCCCTACTGTTGAAGTTGGAGTACCGAATAATGAACTGGACGTCGCGGAACCGAAAATGGATCCAGTGGAAGCAGGTGACGTAATATTTGTAGAAAATAAAGAATTACTTGGTGTTGCGGTACCAAATAATGAACCTCCTGTTGTGGTTGTTGCTGGATTTGTTTTAGCAAATAATGAGCCAGTATTTGATGTAGCAAAAGGAGAACTAGATGCTGGTTTGGTTATTGAACCAAATGAGAAACCAGTTGGCGGAGTTGCCGTTGTTGTCGATGCACCACCGAAAATCGAGCTTGTAGTTGTCGTCGTTGCATTAGTTGTTTGCGTACCAAAAGGACTATTTCCAAACATCGCTTTCACTCCACTAAAAACTGAAAGCAACCACAATAAAAGATTTATTAAATATGAAATTAATATAAAAATTAAATTATTAAGAATCAAAATTTTCAAATAAGTATTAAGCGAAATAAAAATAGAATAGAAAATATTAAAAAGTTGGTTAAAATAAAATTAATAGAACAATAGAACAATAATTTTATAAATATGAAAATAAATAAAAAATATTTATATAAATATTTTGTTTCAGCCATTCTAATTTGCTATTTGTTATTTAAAGTATAGCAATTATTTGCTTGGCTAAAAAAATATGACTCCTTCTAACAAGAATTAAGACTGCTAATTCTATAGATTTATAATTCTACTAGGTTGAGATCAATTTGCCATCTGCATAGAGACATTACGATCGAAGTACCAACCAGATTACCGAGTAACCAATCAGGTTTCGCGACATTTCTTCCTATCGAAAGATAGGAATCGAATTCACCTTACCGTTAACATAAATAACGTGCGATTCAATCGATTCATGAGGACACCAAATATTTTCAGCTAATTTTCTACAAATAATTAGTGATAATGCCCCGACACTCACCAACCTCCCTCTCCCCCCATCCCCACCCCACCCCCTCACAATGATTATCATACATAAATGAAAATTTAAATCCAAAAATTTTGGAAACTAATTCTCGGTCGTTGCTGTCCCGTATTTCTAAACATCGGTTGCAGCTATTTTTCTACTCGCATTTCTAGTCATGCTCGCTCGGCTAAAGTTTGTAGGATCAGGCATATTAGCGATAAAAGTATGGCTACTCAGTTTGCTAACCAGTTAGATCACATATGATTTATTTTTTTCATCAATAGTTTATGGACATTTTGTTATGTATTTTTGGATTTTTAACGAAGAATCTCTGGAGAACCATAGAGCGATTGACTTTTTTATCATTGTTTCTTATCATTGATTTAGTGAATCAACTGATTATCGCCTTATCACCTATCAAATTGATCGGGAAGATTTGTTATTTTTTTCATTTTTATAAAATTTACTATTTTATTGTTATTAAACTAAACAGTGATAACAGTGATAACAGTGATGACTTATGTTTTTCAGTTAAAATACGTTTTATTTTGCAAAACGCTTTATCAATGCAGTTATCATTAATAATCATTGGTTAAAATGATAAAACATATTGCATTTTTGATTTGCTTAGAAAATATAATTTAATTTTTATAAGAAAATGTGAATAGCCAGTGTCACTCGAATTTTTCTACAAGTTTATCCTAGCGAGGAATAGAACCTTAGTATTGGTACCCCGTCATGCATGATGACTGCTTAATTTCTATACAATAGAGAGTAGAGTTATGTTTATCAATTATGCCTCACGGCACTGAATTGCATTCCATTCGGCTTGAGCGCAGTAAATTCATATTAAAGGTGAAACCTGGCTAATTACGGGATATCCATCCATGTGTAGCCTTTTCGCAAGACTCATTTTAATGCATCGAGCTAGTCATCTGCAGTGTAATCATATCAACCTTTCGCTGTTGAAGAGAATTAAAACTAAATTAGAATTATTGAGTGGTACATATATGAAGGTAGATAAAAATTAATTAGCAGAAAAAGAAATATTTAAAAAATTTAAATGGTAAATATAGGTAAATTTTATTATTTGAAAAAAATAATAGAAAAAATTTAATTTATCATTTATCAGTTTATCAATTCATATCAATGCAGTTATCATTTAATAATCAACGATTAAAATGACCTATTTAATTTCACGTAATTTTATTTTTGTACAAAACGATAAGCTACTATTAAAAATCCATGGAAATATTATTATTCCTCTTTTATGTGTTTCATTAGAAAATATGGAAATCGCATAATTAAAGAAATTTAAGAACAATTAAATGTGCATCGAATTTTTCGATTGTTCAACGGTTGTGGTTCACGGAAATTGTTTTGAATAATGGAACGGAGAACGTTCAGCTGCAATAATATTTTTATTATCAAACGGTAAATTCAATTATATTTCCTTATTGATAATGAATAAAACAAAATTTCTAATTTCTAATGATCATGAAAAAATTTTCTCCATTCGAATATTTCTTTTTTTTTTTCCTAATTAATTTATTTCATTAAACCACCCACTCATTAACGGGAAATTTATTACGGGAAATGTAAAGTGCGGATGGTTCTAGGATGGTTATCCTGTGTCTCTATCTAAATACGGCCCTCTGGATCTCTGAAATCGGAAATTATAGACTATTAGACGAAGAGGAAGAATGCAGAATTAGCAGAATTTTAACAATCTTTACGGGGAAAGTTGGCAGTGAAATTTTTTATAAATTTTATATAATCCTTTGCAAAATCATAATTTAAAACTATTCTAGAAATTTTCTTTTTAAGTATTATTTATTAAATATTCTATGCAAATTCGGAAAATTTACCCAATTTTTTTGTTTTATCAATAACAAATAAAAAAATTGCTTTGATAAAAGAGTTATCACAAGATAAAACTTCATAAGAAATCTCAAGCAAACTCAATAGATTCGATTCTTAATTCAATTTAATTCAACTTAATTCAATAGATCAATTGGTTTAATTTATTATTAATACATATTAAATTGATACATAACCTGAGATCTTCCAATTGAAGTAGCTTTACGTAAAACTGTCCATGTTACACATTCATGATAGTCTGGTGTGGTAAGCGATCCGTTATAGGTATAATAATTCAAATCATCTGAAAAATGAAAAGAAAAAGTATAAAATCGAAGAAATCAGGAAAATCAATCAATTCTTTTGATTATAGTTATAATTGATGGAACCTGGAAGTAGTTTGGATGGATCAAAGCTGTTGGAAATGTTAGCTGAATTTTTGGTGTTAGCTGCTTCTTTGATGCCATTTATTAATGGTTCCAAATGTGGATTATTATCATTCGATTCCTAAGGTTTTTTTACATAAAAAATCGGTTTTATATTTAATATATAATATATATATTTAATAATATAATATATATATTTAATAATATATATATATACATTTAATATATTTTGAGATAAAATAAAGTGAATTATTAGTTAACTGCATTTTCTTTCTGTCTAAAAAAAATGTATTATCTAAGAAAAAATGTATTAAAATGTATTAACAAGTATTTATTGTCACGCAATTATTCGTTCTCTCGATTTGTTTTTTTTTTCAGAAAATCTTTAATTTAAGAAATATATTTATAGCAAACCTGAAAAAATAAAGCGAGTACCGCAATACCATCGCAGTGTTTGAAGCATTCAGCAGCTGTCGCATATTTCTCATTCCAGCAAACGAAGTGAAACTAAAAATTCATCTTCAGATTCATCGTTTTCGACTATGCGATTTTTTTAATTATGAAAAAAAAAGTAAAATTAATTAATTAATTATTGAATATTTTCATATGTGAATGGTCATTGTGAAAAAAAATCTCACTCATTACTATCCTAGAATTTCTCTTATGTGAAATTTAATGAATAAATTAATGGAAAGCAATTTAAAATAGTCGAATTACTTCGGCAGAAAACGCTTTTCCATTCATTAAATGTTCGCTGCCATAGTCTTTGCAATTACCCCAATGACCATGTAATTCTTTAAATTTGTAAGTGAATTTCAAATGATCACCTTTGAGAGCTGAAAATGCAAAAAATTTATTGAAAAACTGAAATATTCAATTTTAAGCTAATTTATTTTAGTATTTTTTTTAATATTAATATTTTTAATTTTCAAGGTCACCAGTGTTATATTTAATATTTATTAATATTTAATATTTTTATTTAATTTTATTTAATATTTTTTAAAAATAAAAGAATTCATTTATTCTTCTTTTTTCTTGGAATTATGTAGAGGAAAGCAAAGTCATAAATAAGTATAACAGCATAAATACAGATGAATACTTTTTAATAAATTTCTAAAATAGAGCATTTATAATTGCATACTTGAAGTTGAATTCTCGCTAGCCATGCATGAAAATCCATGTGACGTTATCTAAATGAAATTAATTTTCGGATGAGAAAATAAAAATTCTATATCAATAAATCTTTCAAATAACATAGATTCTTCTCTTCCTCTTCTTTTAATATAACATTTTTTAGTTAAACTTGGTCGAGCTGAGCTAATTGTTAATGTGGTTCGAAGCTCTAAGCAGGTAATTTGTTCACTTAACGAAGATATGTAGTTGGATCGCATGAACCATTTCTATCTTTGGCTAATTGCTGCTCTACCAAAGTTTTTGACCATTTCGGTTAGAGTTATTTAGAAATAGCAATAGAAGGCTAAACATTTGAATTCAGAGAAAGAGTAACGTGCTATTGATTCCCAAATTGTTCTATCATCTAAACAAATTTTCCCAAAACTTCAAAAAATGCAGTTGTTTTTCTAGATTCTTATCATTTTAATTTATTTCGTTATTGCAATAAATCAATAGTTAAAAGACAACTGAATAAACTTTAAAATTTTTTTGTTGGAATTAGGAGTAATTTATTTGAGTAATTATGAGTAATTTTGATGAACCTTATCACTAATGCGTGCAATTCATAGCAATTTCTCTATTTTTAAATTAAAAAAAAAGTAATTAATCAAATTTAAAAGATAATAATGATAATAAAGATTAAAGATAAGCTATTTATTATTTATTAAGTTATTATTAAGCTATTTATTAAGCTATATGTTTAGTCGATTCTCCTTCGTTTTATTTTATTTATCCATAAATTCTCACAATTATGGATAAATGGTTTAATAAATATGAAATATGAAATGAAAGTTTTCCTATCAATTATTCGATTATTTATATCTATTTTTTGCCGGATTACTATTTTATTTTTTGCTTAGAGCCAAGAAAATAATCTAATTTAAAGAATTTAAAGAAATTTCTTAGACATTGAAAGATATTTGGCAAATTACGAACACTTTATTGGTCTAAAAAGGATCTTTCATTCTATTTTTCAATTTTTTTATTATATTAATTTTTTTTCACGAAAAAGGAAAGAAAAAATGGTTATTTCTATTTATGGCCGAGGTGACTATTCTGATTCTCGACTAAAGCCCATTCAGCATAATAATAAACGTGAAATCAACAAAGAAATCTGAATGGTGCTAAGGATCCATCTACTTATTATTTCTACACGTTAATGAATTTCTCAATCAGTGAAGAAACCAAACCAAATGGGAACTCGAAGAACTTGTAATGGGAACTTGTAATATCTTTAAAATATGGAAATATTTATTTGAATAATTAAAAGATTTAAATGCACAAAAATTATACTTTTACAGAAGATAGGTCGCCTTTGGTGTATGCAAAATGAAAATCCGATGGTCGAAGCGTCTTATCATATTCCAATTTGTCATTTGCAAGATCCAGCGGACTTTGAAATTTCATCTTTTTTCCTTTATTTATTCAATTTTTAAACGAGAATTAATGATTGATTCTGGAAATCAACTAAATTCATTAGAATAAAGCGATTTGCTAAGTAACATAGCGTAGAGATTAGTGAAGACGATAGATGCTTAAATTATTAAAAGAGGGAAATTTAAAATAATGTAAAAATTTTAATTTGATAAGGAATTTATATGAAAAAAGAAAAAAATTCATAATCGAAATATTAAAGAAAAATTCTATTTTAATTTTTTTTCATGTGATAATTGGAAAAAAAAAATTAATGAAATCATGAAAAATTTTTGTGTTTTGAATAAATTTACTTCCATCGGACTATGTTAAATTCATTCAGCTGGTTTATCGCACGAGATAAACATGCCAGGAAGTTCCATAGCGATAGAAGTACGGATGAGTCGCTAGTATAAGCCTGATTTCTGAATAAATTACTCGATTCGTGTGGAGGATTAGAACTTCCACATTGGCGCTTCGAAATGAGCACTATAACTCATTGAGCCATTCTATGCTCGCAGTAAATTTCATTCATGAATTATGCAAAAATCTCTCTTAGGCTCATTTATAATTAAAATGCAATATATAAAAATAAGTTAAATTAATTTTAAAAAAAAAGAAAATTTCATAATTTCATTGATTTAAATTTAAGAGTGAATTATTATTATTAAACAACTAACGAAAAATCAAAAATTTTTCACATTACTTCTTACTTTAAACTATTTAACTGTAAAGTTCTTCTTCTTCCACGAAAATTTTTCAATCGTCTTTCTATTATCACTTTTCTAAAGTTTTATCTATTTTCTTATCACTTTTCTTCAAATAATACAAATCATTTTTGAATCAAATTTTTCCAACTTTTCATTAACAAACAAATGGTTTAAATGCCTTTTATTGAAACTAAGCCAAAGCCAAACTAAATGTAAGAAAAATGTGAATTTACGGTTTCAGAAGGCTTCGATAACAGACTCGTACAACTTCTAAAATAATAACGTAAATTATAACTTAAATTAACTTAAATAAAAAAAATATAATAATTTATATAATTTATATAATTTTGTATAATTTAAATTATTTCATAATTTTTATTGCAATTTAATATTTTTTATTGCTTAAATAATTGCCCTAATAAATATTTGGAAATTTATTCCTCATTATTACGAACAAACGAAATCGTTTTAGAAATTGCCTCTCAATATAATCTCAATTATTTTTCATTCGTATGAATTCTTTTTTCTCTTCGCAAAATTTCTTTTTTTTAGTTTTTAATAAAAAATAATTAAAACAGAAATGTCTTTTTTTAATAGAAAAATTTTTTTCATCTATTATCATTTTAAATTTATTATTAATTTATTTTATTTATTTTATTATTAAAATAATTTTTATTAAAATAAGATTTTTTTATTTAAAAAAAATAAAAAAATTTTATGAATGTATAATAAAAAAAAAAACTTTAAAAAAATTCATTTCATCTAATAATATATATTTTGATAAACCAAAGCGAATTTCTTCATTAATATTTATTAGATAAAATAGACAACAGTGATAATATTTATGACAATGAGATTTTGAAAATGATAATGATGATGAATGAATAAATGAATGAATGAATGAGTGAATGAATGAATGAATGAATGAATGAATGAATAAATGAATAAATGAATAAATGAATGAATAATGATGATAATAGTGATCGACAACGATTTATGAGCAATTCGCTGAATAAATTTTTATAAATAGAAAATATTTTAATATGAAATAATAGAATCGGCTCGAAAATAGCAAATAAATTTATTTGATGGCATCATTTCTATGATATCGATGACATTTTATTTTTATTCCTCGATAAAACTAGATTCGAAAAAAATTACCCGAAAAAAAAAATTATTGCCTAAAGTTTTTACTAAATTGGTATTTTTCAAGTTAAAATTCATGAAATGAGAAGCAATTTGGGAAACAATGGGAAATAAACAATGGGATGGATGAATCAATTGTTTAATTATTGGTGTTTGGTGTAATATTGATATTGCACCAACAATAATAAATGATTTTGGTATAATAAAAATAAAATGATGGTTAAAATAATTGCACCAACAATAAATGATTCGTGTAAATTCAAGAAAAAATTGTTGATTATCGCAAAAATAATTTATTTAAAATAACTAATATTTTTAATTATTTTATTATATTTTTTGATAATTTATTTAGTTATTTTAATTTTAATATTTGAAGAAAAATTCACTGATCGTCATGTGATCGTCTTTCTCTTCTAAATTTGTCCTCATTTATCACCAAGGTGATAAAATTTATTGAGGAAATCGAATAATCATAAATCTTCATTTAATTATGCTTTTCTTTAATTTTAATTTTTAAAAAAGAAAAAAAAATGAGAAAAAATAAAGAGAAAAAAATTATAAATAAAAAAGAAAAAAAAAAGATTTGGCGAATATTTTAACTAAAAATTATTGCTTTCGCATCCCAAATAAAATTCGATTTTTATCATCTAAAATCATGGAAAAAAGCATTTTGCCATTGATTTATATTTTTATATACTTTCTAGCAAAATTTTATCTAATTCCCATTTGCATTGGAGAATTTCGGCGAAATATTTGGAAGCGATAATTGCGATAAAAAGAATTGAGACAAGCGGTGCGCAATGTCATCTAATGCATGAAAAATCTTGTAATTTTAACTTCTAATTTTATGCATCTTTAGATAATATTTTATACAGAATGCTCCTAAGGACCCTTAACGGAAATGTTGGATCGCATTAACGGCAGATCTTTTAGAGGCCAACGCTTTTAAATAATGCTCGAATGAAGAATGTTTTGAATTTAGCATTTTAGAATATTTATTACTTTCGATTTTTAGACTAAAATCGAACGGGGTGTGAATTAACGGGATTTTATTCTTCAATAATAATGGATCTCTCTCCCAATGCAAAAACATAAAAGCCTATAGCTAATAGCTTTGAACCGAGTTGCACCACTCACACCATTCCGTTAAGATAAACTTTTTTCAAGATAAATTCAATTTGGCTGGCCTCCTAATTCAATTATTTCGACTAAAAAGCTTATTTGAATAAAAAGACGAAATATTATTTTATAAAATTTTTAACTGATAGTTGATTTAGTGAATTTTTTATCAAACCTGTTATACTCATAAATCATGCGCCTTTTTTTTTTTCATGTAGCCAAAGATATTCAACTTTTTTTTCCATCGCCAAAAGTTAGAACTGGAAATTTCACAAAAAAAAACCTAGAAAGAAAGAAAGAAACCAAATTGTGCATTTTTCCAATAATCCGAAAAAGGCGAAACAATTATTATTATTATTATCATTATTATTATTAAATTTTTAATAGATAATTGTTAATATTTTTTTAAATTTATCATTTGACCAATAATAATCCTAAATTCAAAAATTTTTAAACCAACTTATGGATTATTGAAATATTTAAAATATAATTTTCAAAAATAATTTTTTTTTACTTTTATTTTTTAAAAATTTTAAAAAATCTTTGTGGATTCAGAAATTTAACCAAATTTTATGAATTCTATAAGGAAAATTTAGAAAACCAAAATTTATAATTATAT